GGCTGCGAAGTTAACAGATTTGAGGCAAGAATAAATACAATGAAGACCACAAACATTTGTAAGTGGGGATAGAATTAATTCTTCTGAGTCATGTTATTAGCAAGGCAGATACGTGGCAGAAGCACACCAGAGTGGATCAGAGAGGCTGCCAGGAGCTACTGGTGTAAAAAGCCCTGAGACAGAGCTGCACCAGATAACACAAGGCAACGTAGAGTCTGCACTTTGCAGCACTGAAGTTCTGCTTTGGAACAGCATGAGACAGATTATCCAGACAGAACAGAAAAGGGACCGAGCCTGGGTGGGGAGTTTGGTAACAAGTGTGCCTGGGGAACAGCAAAAACTACAATAAAGATAAGGGAAGAATGAGGAATGCGACTGCCAGGAAAGAAAAGGACTCATCTTTAGAAATACTGCTAGGGCACATATCTACAGGAATTCTGTAACGAGTATTCTCTTCACATTCAGCCTTGTACAATACTCTGGAATGGAGAATATACTGGACGAGGTAATTTTACTGCCAGCTTTAACATCTATTCAGTGTATTCCTCTGCCCAGAAACAGAAAAACTTCTGTTATAGAGCAAAAGCCAAGTGTTAAAACCAGGAGAAAGCTCTTATTTCCTCCTTCACCGTAAACAATCGATCCATATGAGATAAATACATACCTCTCCGACATACTCCATCACAAAACTGTTGGTTTTAATTTTCTGGAGGGTTTTCACTCCCCAGCCTCGTCCGTTGTTCGTTCGGAAGATGCAAAGCGAATACTGCGTGCCCTTCTGTACTATCCTATTAGGGCAGTCGGGCCCGCACCTACAAAATGAGTTGCATTCATAGATGGGCAAGCCAGGCTGGATTTTCAGCTTCTTTTTTTTATTATAAGCCAAAATAAAGCCAGCCTCCTTTGGACAGCACTTCTCAGCAGGGCAGTCTGAGCATTCACAGCCAGTCGTTATTCCATTGATTACATTTATTCCCGGAGCAGGTTTGTACTCATTAATGTAGTAAAAGTCTAAAGGAGGACCTTCGAGATCCACAGTGTTTTCTACCAGAATCATTCCTCTATGATTCTTTTTCCTGTTGAGCTCTTCTTTCCATCTCTGCAGAGCTATTCTTTGCTTAGCCTTCCTTACAATGTAATCTGCGACCGCAGGTTTCAAGGCTTTAACGTGGTTTCTCACTTTCAGCGCTTTGCCTTCTTTCACTCGAGACAAGTATTCATTCTTGTCACTAAGGAAGTTTTGAAGAAGCAATGGACACTTCAGATTTTTCTGAGGTTCCCAAGTATTCGAAGACTCCGGCCATCCTTTCCATTTCACAAGATAGTACTCTGTGCCCTTGAAATACAGAAACACACAGATTTAGCCACACTTCTGTTTACTGAAATGCAGAGTTCCGCAGTTAAGAAATGCCACACAGTACAGAAGGTCCTGATGGCCCCAAAACAATTAGAACTGGGGAGAAAGGGAAAAAGCAAGTTTGCTGTTGGCAGATTAACTTAGAGCACAACTTTGGATACTCCACGGGCAGTGGAAACTTGGAAACTCTGGGGCACAGAAATACACAGCTGAGAAGAACTCAGGTCACTAATCTTAAACCAGGAAGCTAATTTCTTAAAGCAGTTACGAAAATTAAACTATCTAGTTGTGTGACTCATATGCATAAGCAGAATATAGTCATGTCACACACAGAACAAAAAAATAAAATCCTAAACTTTCCAAGCAGATGCCAAAAAAAACCACTATTTGCCCTTTATCAACCATGCTCCTAAAGAAGCAATCTGTTTAAAACACTTCATATTGTATTTACAGTCGAGAAGCACACGCTTTGCATGTATTTTACAAGAGCCAAATAACCATAGTAAATGTAACAAGGCCAAATCCTGATACTGAATTCCACCGGCAAGAACAAACCATAGGAATCCAGCAGCAGCACATGGCCCTAACTCTTCATCAGACAGACTACAACATTCGAGAGAAAAACAAAGTTAGCCTGCAAATAAAGAAGCATCGTAAGACATACCAAGCTACAACCTAAAAGCATCAGGGTTTTGCTTCTAGATATATAAAGGTGAGGCATTTTGTATTCCAAAATCTCTGTAATTTCAGGACAAAACTTCCGTCAACGTACTGAAAGAGGTAGCTACACTGCTTTCTGTTTACAGTTCAAAGTTTAAATGATATTTCATGCGATGTAATCAACGGCTTTGCACTCGCAGCCTGTTTCTTTATATTAGGAGCAAAACTACCTTTGTCTCGCTTCCAAATTCCAGCTGAAAGAGTGATCAGATCGGTCTGTGTTTCTCTTACCTCTTCTACCTTGTAGTCACACAAATATTCCACCTCATAACTCTTTAGACTCCTGTTGGTGATTCCAATGGATTTACATCTGAGATTTTCCTTCCTACATAATTCTTGGAGGGTCTCAAGTGAGGCTAGACATGGCACATACCAGGCTACAATAAGAAAATCGGTAGAGAATCCTATTTAATGTCTCGGCCGAGTTCAACCCGTTATGCACTCCACGTGCCTCAACCCGAAGTCCCCGCGGTACCACCTGCGCCAGCGGCCTCTCGCACGCCTTCGGCGTCTCTCCAACTTTCACCCTAAGGCTCAAGGCAGAAGCACGGTGACGATTCCCTCCCTGAACCTCGGCTCAGCGTGCCTGGCCGCATACTTACAGGGAACCACCAACGCTCTGGAGGGCAGGCACTGCGGCAACGCGCTTCCAGGGGCGGAAAGCGCCTTAAGACCGAGGGAGAGCGTTGCCCTACGGTGAAAGCATCCCGTAACCGAGCCACAGCTCCGAGCCAGCCTCCATTCTTCAACGGGACCTCCAAAGGGACCCCAAGAGCCCTGCAGCTTGTAGGGGACCCCAGCTCCTGTGACGGGACCGGGGTGACTGATGGAGTCCTGGCCCCGAGGCTCTTCCAGAAGGATCGCGGAGCTGGAGGGAGGCTGCTGGGGGCTGAAGGGGTAAAGGGGGGGAAGTTTGGGAAGGTGGTGAGGCGGTGAGGGGCTGAGGGGAGGAAGAGGAGGGTGAGGAGAAGGTGGAGAATGAAGAGGATGAGGAGAATGAGGAGGAAGAGGAGGAAGAGGAGGAAGATGGGAGGGAATGGGGGCGGTTGCCTTTCCCCCAACCCCCCTACAGCAGCCCCAACCCCTCTCCCCTCACATTTACCTCAAGCACCCCCCCACAACACCGTGCTCACCCCTCCGGCCTCCAACCTCCCCCCCACACCCCTAAAAAAACCCACCCCAACCCCAACCCACCCCCCACCGCACCACACCGCCGAGCCCGGGCTGCCAGGCTCCAGCTACGGGGAGAGGAAAGGGGGGTGGGAGGGCTCGGCGGCGGTTCCCTCAGCCCCCCGAGCCTTCCTCCTCCTCCTCCTCAGCTCTCGGCGAGGCGGAGGGGAAGCGAGGGGCTCGGTGCCCGGCGGCCTCACCTCCTGGCCAGCCCTCCATCTTGGAGGGGGCCGCAGGCGCCAGGCGCGGGTCGGGGCCCGCCATGCTCCGCCTTCCCCCCCCCCCTCCGTGGAGCACGGGGCGGGGCCATGGCGGCGCCTCAGAGGCGGCCCCGTTCTTCCCCCTCCACCCCCGTCACGGTTAGGGAGGGGTTTTTTTTGGGGTGTAAAAGGAGAAAGGAGAGGGTTAGGGGACGGGGATGAGGGCAAGGCGGTAAGGTTCTCTAACTACAATAAAAAAATAAAAATAAAGCGTTTTTCACCTTACTTTAACATACACTTTCCTCCCCCCCCCCAACACTTTTCTCCCCCACACACCGACTCCTCCACAGAAACAAACCTACAAAACTAACAGCTATAAGGGAAATTAACCCCCATCAAATAAGCATAGCAAGACTTCAGCTCCCCCCCCATTAATCCTAAAACTCTTACATCAAGTTTTAAACCCGAACCGTATATTAAAGCAGCTTTAACGGATCTTACATAGTTTTAAACCTAAACCATACGTAAAAGTGGCTTTTACAGACCCAATCTTTTTTATTGTATGCCAAGTGAAGGAAAGCCCAGGCTCCTTTGTTCGCTTTCAGCATCCACTCGTGGGGCAGGGGGAACTTGAGGCCCCAGGAAGGCTGCCCTGAGGCCCCGAGGTGGTTCTCTGCTGGATACTGACCTCCGGAGTCAAAGGGGAATATTTCAGGCACTTGGAACCAAAAATATATTCTCTCACCACAATACGCTTCCCAGAAACGAGGTCTGCTGTTCAAGTCAGCCCCAAACCTCAGCAGTTTGTACTATTGAGCACAAAATACACGCCCCAGAGATGCCCAGCCACTAGCTAGCACTCCAGTCTCTCCTCAAGGACTTATTCTAATCTGATGTTAATGTGCAACAGCATGGGGCTAAGGGACTCCACTGCCCATACAAAGTAAGGCTTTAGGTTTTCCAAGACCCTTTTTAAAAGCTTCCAGACAGGAACTGATGAACTATTTATTCACTTACCTTCAGGACACCAAGGAGCCAGTGCTAGGTGAGGTAAAATTTTCTGAGTGTTAAAAGTTCAAATCAAATGCTTAGTCTGGTAAACCAGAATTTGAAATGCAGTAAGATTTATATCTACATAGGATTTTATAAGGTATAAAGAATATGAAAATGCATGTCCTGCAACAGGTAACTGAGGAGCTCAAGACAAATTTGGGAAAGCTGTAGGAACGCAGTAGTTGAATCCAAGTCTCTTCGAATCCAGATTGGCATCCCTCTCTCCAGTTTTACTTTATGCCTTTGGGGTACTACTGGGTTACTCTGAATATCTGACAAAATTATATCTGGCCCCACCTAAGGGCTGAACTGCTGCTTTTCTCAACTCTACGCAAGACTGAGACCATCAAATCCTGTAACTACAGCTGCCTGTTCCACTTTCTATTACTTCCCTCCCTACCTAAATCTAAAACCAAAACAAACAGTATGTCAGATTATAGCCAAACAAATATATACCTATATACAGATTGGAACAGTGCCACAGTATGGAGAATACCAGCATCTGTATAAAAATTTTTATTTATTAATAAACACATAAATAAGCACATATAACCCTTACACGTGTTTTTCAGGTAACATCACAAAACCATTTTACAGTAACGCCACAAAAAAAAAAAAATCCTGCTCAAGATGCCAGCTCAAAAGGGCATCACCTCCTTGGTTTTGGGCAATATTGAAACCACGCAGGTTAAGTATAATTTGTACAGTTATTTGGGAGTGGATTTTCACGTATCTAGCTCTGGCTGGTTCAGTGCTATGCTGGTTGAAGCCACAGGTATACTGTTTGAATGGGTACAGGACCTGATTAGTCCTCAGACTACATAATATGTTGTTGCTAAACCAAAAACCTGAGATATGCTCTTTGAAATTTTTATTAAAAGGTGCTGATAAATCCAATGCTCCGTTTTCTTCCTATTTAGATTAACATTTTGCACCACATCGTCCACTCCAAACAGACTTGGTGGCTAATTAATGTTTTACTTCAGTTTATTACAATTCTCTATGAATCATTAAAGACACCTCAGAGTCACCACTTTGGTGGACAAGCCAAGGAGAGACAAAATCAACTCAGGATAACGTTGCCTTTCAAATGAGGCTATGAAGCCACTTCAACAGTGATGACTTCACACTTTCCAGTATCTTGATCTGTGCAGGTAACATGTAAGGATCCATCCCTAGGGAAAAAAAAAAGAAAAAAAAGGTATATTTAGGACCATCTCATTTAGTATGTTATTACATGTTCTACAGAGAATAAATAGTAGTCTTCATGCAAAAGAATGGAAGCCAAATAAGCATCAAAATATCCACGGAATAACATATTTATGAAATTACTGTGTTCAGTACTTAGATACTTCTCCATTAAAGCATGCATTTTCTCCACGTATGATGGAACAGACTCAGGAACATGTTTATGTTATTAGTATAACTAAGTTAATTTAAGGCAGGATCAGAAATACAATATGTAGTAATATTCAAAATAATTACATTAAGAACTCAGCCTAATGGCAACCAACAGATAAGTGCATCTTCTCAAATCACAAGCACTCTTATAGACTACTGCTTTTTAAATACCAAGGATCTTCTTAAAGAGAAAACCCTTCATTTTAAAAAAAGATAACACTGAATCCTACTTCACCTATGCATGCAAGTCATGCTTAAGATTCAGACAGAAATAGGAAGCATTCTAGTAAACTTTCACTGCTCTGTGCATTACCAAAACACTTCAAAATAATGAAGTTTTCTGTGCCTCACAGTTGCATGTAAATAGCCGAAAAGCTTTTTCTCACCAATGCTAAGAGCAAATTTCTGCATGGCTAAGGAGGTATTTAAAGTTCAGTTTATTAATACAGAATTAATAAACCCGATAGCTAACTTAAGAAAATGAAAGTATTTTGTATTCAAATAGCATGTAGGGATTTAGTTTCTCAACAACATCTAGACAACTTTCTCATTAGTTTGAAAAGCAGTAAGAATTCCAGTACAGTCCTCAGAAGACAAACATCTTTTGATTACTTGGAACTCCACCGTTATCTTTGTAAACTACTTCGACTATTTCACATAAGCCAAAGTAGCCAACCATAAGACCGAGGGAAGTCTGAGAAATCACTTCTATGTCAATTCCATCCCACCTCTCCTACCACAACCATACGACACTTTGTATTTTCCCTGTAAAAAACAGGTAGTTCTGTAAAGTAGATTTATAAAACCTGATTTCCTATGGCATTGTTTTTCACGTTTAACAACCCTGACTCTAAAATGAAAAGGCCACAGGTCTTTTTCATAAATGCAGCATTGTAAGTCCTTCAGGGATTCATTAGTATTCATCAGCAACTAATAAAAGGATGATTTAACTTCAGTTATTCACAAGTGTGTGCATTCTGCAGAACTACCTGCTGCTCTCAAGCATGGTTAAACTGATCAGCAGCTCTCAAGTTGCTAGAAGTCATCTACACAACCGTGTTAGGTTTTATTTCCATAGCAATCAAAGAACGCAGGCATGGAAAGTGCTGCCTTAAAAAAAAACAAACAAACAAACCCCACACATTCCTTGCATTCTTACAGAATTTGACCCAGCTAGGGCAGAGCCCAGTAAGTAAGGAAATGCTGAAATTTCTTAACACAAAACTAAACTTTCTCTAACAAGTGTGAAGCAGCAAGTTAAACACCAGAACAAGAAATATGATAAGTACCTTTTCATAGTGAGAACAGTTAATATGTCATGTAGGCCATCCTCCTTTTTATCTAAATCCTGGAGTACAATCTGTTTAACAGAGAAAGATTTTACAATCTTTTTTTAAAATCCTTACACAGCAGTCTAATGAAAAAAAGTGATATGCATGATAATTAGTACAAGCACTAGCAACACCGTTACCTCGAGCAGTTTTATTTCTAAAGTGCTGGTGATCTATGTACTACTGGAACACCTGGTTATGGGCTCTTGTCCCAGATGAGCTGCACCACAGTAGTGCCAATACATCAAAGTCAGACAAGTATTTAGAAACTCAGGAGGGAAATTTCTTTAAAGATGCTTCAGTAATTCATAACACATTTGTAGAATAACGTTTAAGGACAATTCCTAGACAAATGCATTTGATTCTTTTTTTTTTTTTTTAACATAAGGTTCTGATAAGTGTGGTTGGTTTTCTTTTTTCCAGATCCACTTAATTTCCAAGTAGTTCACATTAAATCTTGCACGTGCAGACACTCACCTGTGCAAATTTGTTTTCTTCATTCATAGGACCTTTTCCTAATGACTCATACAGCTCAAGGCACACAGAAGACGTGTTTCCAGGAGCATGCAGGGTATGCTGCCTTCGAGCTGGTAGCGGTGTCCCTGATGGAAATAGCACTGTGAATTTGTCAGCCCCTGACTCGTCTACTCCCTTTAAAAAGAAAGAACAAATTCACGCCTTTCTAAGTACTTCAGTGAGCTAGATGCTTTGTAACAGTGCTCCATGAGCAAAGAAATCCAAGATTCACTCCTTCTGCTGTATTTACCATAATAGCAATTCAAGAAAAATCCCTGAACTTTCTCTAAGTGAAAAAAATCCAGCAGTGATGAGGAAATGGCAATTAAGGAAATAACAAAGATGCAATCCATCCCCCTTTGAGTCAATAGGAGTTTCTCCAATAATTTGGATAAATCTAAATGGCCACTTAAAGCTAATTAGCGTATTAAAACAATACAATTTCTTTAATATCAAAGCCTAAGCGGTTCTATGTATTCATTATAGCATTTTCAAAGGCTAAACAAATTTTTAGCCTTACCTTATAAAGAATATCTTTGGCAGAACACTCAATAAAGAATGCATCTTCTTCTAATGATGGATTCTCTTTCCCTAGCAGAATCCCTGCCTCTATTGCTGCACCAATAGGAATAACTTCATCGGGAGGAATTGAACTCAGGAGTTCCACGTTTGGGAAAATGTCTTTGATCAGTTGCTGTAGCTTTGGGATTCGAGCAGACCCACCACACAGAACTACCTGAAAAACAAAAGAATGCTTTCAAACCTCGCTTCAGAAGATAAGAAAAGGCTACAACCTGCAAAATGGAAGTGTAAACCCCTCTGGGATATTTTAGCACCTGTATCTATAAGTCACCTAGTCGAACCTCCTGCTCAGAACACATCCAGTTACAATAGGCAGCTCTACAAATACAACTTCCAAAACCCCTGCCAGCCCTTTTTTCAGTGTTTGATAACCCTCACACTAAAAATTCTTCTCCTCGTTCCTCATGTTAAAACTAGATCTTAAAATCAAGCTAATTCACACTTTTCTTAGCATAAAGCATAGCTTAAGAGCTGTAGAATTAGGTTCTTTTTAATACATTTAAAACATAAAACAAAACCCACACCATTAAAGCCTGAGCAGACAAGCAACTTTAAAAATATTTCCACCAGAAAACAGAAGACACTCATTGAACAGTGGCTTAGAATGCTTTATTATCCTACAACTGTAATTCGGATGTGACACAGCTTTGGTGGTAACACTAATTAGGAGTCTGAAATAGCATCCAGTATCATTACAAGTGCCAGTTAACCTTCGCTGCAGAATTCATGCACCAATTCCACAAGCAGTACGTACAGCAGTATTTACCACAGACTGGTGCACAGGAATTTAGATGAAGTCACTTTTGTACCAAACAGAAAGAGACATTTGAAGCAACCAGTTATATTTACTACTTCAATCACCATTTTTGGCTTTAAAGTTTGGCATCTAATGTGTTCCTAAGTTTAAGCTAACAAGGAGGAATGAAGGGAGGAGGAACACAGACACCAAGCAGACAATAAGTATCTTGTTCAGCTTGTAAGACCGAGCTGAAACTCAGGAATTCTTCAAGTGTCAGCCAACCCAATCCAAAACTCAGTGAGGGCAAACGAACTTCTGAGTATTAAAGAAAGTACTCCTCAGCTCTACTAAAAGTTATACTAACACACCAAATGGGACAAATCCTCTACCATTTCCTCAATATACATCAGTAAATGCCATCATTGACTAATTTTACCTTAGTCCAAATAACCTCCAAAGACCTTGATTCTACATACGCTGTTGCGTTTGAGCCAAAAATGCTTGAACACATTCAGAAATAATCGCAGTCCAAGGAAAACAACCCTCCAAATGTTCTTGTAGAGCTATAAAGCATCGCACAGACAAGTGACTTCTATTATTACCTTATTAATATCATCAGCTGTAAATCCAACTTGCTGCAAGAGCTTTTTAATTGCTTCTACACACTTAGTAAAAAGCGAGGAACAGATAAGTTCAAACCTGGCCCTAAAGGGGGGGAAAAAAAAAAAAGTCATCCATTAGACAAACCCAGAACAGAAGAACAATCATGTTTAGAACATACTTTGTTTCTCTAACTATACCTCATATTGAGATTTTTTTTAAGCATGTCAAGAAAATTTATTTCCCAACTATTAATCTCAAGTAAGTGATTTATGTTGTGCAAGTATCTCTGCTATTGATTGCATCACTAACATGGAATGCAGATTTTTTTCTTAGTGCATTCTTAGGAAAAACACAAAGTTTTCACATCTGAGTCAAAACAATAAAGAAGCAAAAAGTCCCTCATCTTTAAAACAGACACATCAAAACGCACCTCTTGAAGTTTCAGAGGCAAGCCAAGCTGCTTCCTGATTTACACGGAGGAATAGTTACTTAACCAAATTAAAAGAAAATGTGCTTGCTTCAGGCTCTTTCAAGCCTGAAGACAAAAGTTACTCTGCACAACTGCAGTAAGTCAAATTCCTTATCTCAGCTGAACCAAACAAGCTCCACAGTAGAGCTTCTCATGCTTGCAGGCATACTATGACTTATTTCACCAGATCCAACTGCTGCAACAGCACAAAACAATTTTATTTTGCTAAATTCTACTGGTGACAGGAAGAACAACTGAAGTTTAATTAAATACTTCAAAAAGAGTTAATCCTGACAGAGAAAAGAGACTTAAGAGTAGGACGCAGCACTATAAACAAAAAGACAAAAAACATTTTTCCACTCCACCTGTCAAAGACGGACACTAAAACATCCCTGACTATCATTTTGGAGCTCATTTGGATGAAAGAGCCCCAAATCCTCTTTTGTAAGAAAAAATACAGCAACAACAACAACAATGGGAGGCACAAGGGGAAAGCACCTTGATTAATTACAGGGTTTATTTCCCTTTCATCAACTAGACTCCAAAGATGGGGCCTCTGTGGACCTTTTCAGAGTGTCTCTCTTAACCATTTACAAGAATACCTTTAGTGTTCCTCTCAACTACTACAGATCATGCATTAACGGAAATAACATGAAAGAAAGCTCAAAAAAGCAAGTTGGCCTTCCAGCATCACCAAAAATCAAAGCTTATTAAAATCCTAAACTCAAACTAAAAAAAAACTTAAAGCTTACTTCTATGTAACATGAGTAGCCTCAAGATTTGTTTTACCTGGACACATTACAATCAAAATCCAATCCATCATACAGTGAATCTACAAAACAGTTTGCACTTCCCAAGGTTGATAACGAGTGCTTTGCAACGTCAGCGCTGTTCATTAGCTTCATCATAGCCCTGGGATTTCCTCTAATATCGTGCTTACAAGACCTACATTTAAAAAAGAAAAGCCTATTTAGAAAGGCAGGCATTTGAGTGGTAACACTTTCTGAAAGAAAAAAATGAGTTTAAGGTATTAACATTTTTCTGTAGACATTTTAATGTTACCTACAATGACATTATGGAAAGTTGACAGAGAATAAGAGCACGTGTTTCAAGTTCAACTAAAGAACACTGAGTAGTGGCACTGCTGGGAACTCAAGTATTAATGCTTATCATACAGATTTAAGTCTTTCTGAACTGGTTTTTGGCTGAACAGATCCTGGAAGTGACGGGAAGAAACAGCAAGAACAGGCCTACAAGTTAAACAATTTTAATCATATTACTGTAAGAAATAGAACACTGAACACTAGACATGTTGAAAGAGTCTATTTCATCCAAAGTCTCCTTCTGTAATACCATGCAGTTGACCATGACAGGGAAAAAAAGAGCTAGATCTAATGCTAGTACGTTTGAGTGCAGTTTTGTTTGTTGTAGGACAGGACACACAGGCTCCAGCCTGATGAAGCTGGCCAGTCCATGGTCCTTCATGTCAACAAGAAAAAACAAAACCTACAGAAGTGAATTCCCCTCCCTCCAAACACAACCACTTCTGTGACTGAAACAATAGAATAATGCCTACATCACTTAAAACAGTTCATAGCTGAGCCCTCACAGCTCACCCCAACCCAACTATTTCCCCAACTCCCCCAGCAGCTGACTGTTCCTTTCATATCTTTATCTGAGTCGTTTTGCTCAGACAGCCCACCAGCTCTGCCAAACTAGCATCAATTTAAAAGATGTTGAGATGTAGAGCTGAGTGAGATGGTTTAGTGGAGGACTGGTTAGTGTTAGGTCAGAGGTTGGACTCGGTGATCCTGGAGGTCTCTTCCAACCTAGATGATTCTGTGATTCTGTGAATTCTTTTCTATAAGCAAGCATCACATGTGATGTTCTTGTCCCAACAACATACTTGGAATTCAGAACCCACCTCTGGAACTCAGATGCTAAGTGTTGTGCTAGAGCTTCTGTGAAGCACACTCCACCAATGCTGTCGTCTGTGTTAGTAGCCAGCACGCGGTATATTCCGCTGTTTACTTCTATCACCGTGATAGAAAGCGACGTGCCACCAAGCTTATAGACCAACACATTGCTGCCAAAGAAAAAAAAAAGCAGTATTAACAAGTCGTATAAAATTATGCTTCCTTTGACACACTTTCTGAGATGACCATCACCAAATAATATATTGCAGGGTTTTATCAGTTTGGTCCAGTGAATTTGATTTGAGCAGTTTGGATTTAGCATGTCTTGTTATCACTGACTAGTGACCGTGTTCCCTAAAGAAGTCACTGTCATACAGCCAGAGTTAGCCCATGTTTATCCTACAACATAACACCAAGGTCTGCTTAAGAAGTTTACATTTTTCCTCGAGCCAATCAGCTCATTAAAAAGCAAGATACAAACTGGGGACAAATCTTTAAGACAATTTCTTACAAAATAGAATAAAGGAGTTAATTAAAAGTCACAGATTTATAACCTTTAAATTTCTATTGGCTCTCAGAACAAGAGAAAAGCAGGCTTCAAATCATTAATTTTGTATTGGCTGTTAGGGGAACACATCATTCCCTCGTTTATGATTTCTCTGTGTAGAATGTGCTGTGCTAAACCTCACGCAGATTTAAACTATAGCAGCTTAAATCTAAGGAGTAAGATCTTAGGATTTTACCTTTTCCCAGTGGGTGAATCTTGGCCAATTCCGTAGGCCAGGAGAGCTGCAGATGGTTCGTGGATTAATCTCATAACATTAAATCCAGCAGCTGCAGCTGCTTCCCTGTGATAAGGCATAACAGCATTGCGTTTTACTTTAGTGATTTCACTGTAGTTATTAAGACTTTATCAAAACTAGATATGACATCAATGCAGCACGTGGTTACAACATGCTATTAACAAAGAGAAGTGACTGGGAAAAGAAAAGCATAATGAAGGTCAGTTGCAACTGCTTTCTTCAGGGAGTTGGATCTGCAGTGTGCTTATGTCAAGGAAAACACTGATGCATCAAACATGCATTCCCCATAAAAACAGCAGAAAAAAAAATCAAGATTAAAAAGCCACCCTCAAGCAAGCTTGGGTAACACGTCTTCATCTGTGGCATTAAGTCTCCTCAGTACATTATTTCACCAGATGTCAAATTGATTTGATTCCAAATCAAGTTACCACAGCTCACTTTTAACTTTACATGTTTTCTTGGCACTCAGTGGCCCTGAAACTGCCCTAATAGTTTCCTCCATTCTGAAGTCATTTTGAAACTCAGATGCCAAAGCAGTAGAAAGTTTTACTATGCATACCGCAGATACCCAGAGCGAGTGTTTTATGACTAACTTTGAGTGTATTTTAAGTTTTTCATGACAGTTCAACACAACGTCTTCTACATACTGAAAGTAGAGAGAAATGCTGCTATTTATACACAGCTTTGACTTCTGTTGTGGCAAAAGTCTACTTATGTTTTCACAGAACTGAAGTTCTCCAGCTGCACTTCCAAGCAGAACAGCGGTGTGTATTCAGTACCTGCTCTCTAATAAAGAGTCCTTGATAAAATCAGGTAGCACCATTTAGTTTGGTGAGAAGTGGAGGGAAATTATGGAGGGCTGAAAAATCATTCGCATTTCAAAGCGGACACCGAAGAGGCAGCAGAAATACCACATCTCAGATGACACTATAGACACGACGACAGCAAAGTCCAGCAGAACTCCCGTTGCTCATCTGCCAAGAGGTCTGCTCTAGGCACGGTAAACAACAGAAAAATCTGAATCCTCTTACCCAAGGGCATTTTTCTGATTCTCTCCAAAATCAAACGGGACAGTGATAACAACGTCGTTTACATCCGAACCAATTGCAGACTGAGCAGTTTCTGTCATAAACATAGGCAGAACATGTTGATTAAAAGCAAAGTACCAACAGACCACATCTTAAAAATGTGAGGACAAGCTTAGAAATATTATTATTAAATGCTTTTACTTGTTAAGTACCTTTCATTTTACTGAAAATTAGCTTTGCCACATCTTCTGGGTTAATAAGCTTATTATCTATCTCATATTGAAGTTTCCCATTCTTCTCAACTACCTGTAAGCAAAGACAACACACCCTTGTTAGAAGCATAATTTGAACACTAGTGTTTGTTAATAACCTATTTAGTGTCTGTTCAAAGTAATAAAAAAAGGGAGGAGGTTGTAGGTATTTTCTATTGTATCTAGAATACTTTGCATTCTGTGACAAGAAAACATTTCCAAAATGTTTATCAAAGAGCACAAGGAAACCCTGTATTATCCAGACTTCCTTCTGCTATTAAAAAGCTCTCTGTAGTAAAACAGCTCAACTACTTGCTGCTTCTACAATACTGTTCTGAAAATACTTTTAAAAGAATTGTCTTTTATGAATGGCCAAGAGATGCATGTATTTTTTTCTGCTGGACTACATTATGGCAGCAGATCTCCGAACACGGAGTTCTCTACTTTCTAAATAGAGAAATAAACACGTTCTAGAGGAACACGTTCCATACAACAGCAAACAAACTTCATATTGGGAGAGCCGATCGCTGCAGAACACAACCAGCGTGGCACAAAACGCAAAGTAGCAAAGTAGCATGGTATAAAATGAGAAGTTATTCTGAGAACAACAAAAAAAATAGCTCATACTCACCGAACATTTGCTTTCTGCAATGTATTTCTGTGCTTGGGGGTCACCAGAGCTGTGAAGACAAAAACAGAACAGCAAGATAAACCATATGCTCCGGGGTAACTGCAGAAATTCATCTTGGTGATGTTGACAGCACACAAAGAAGCTACACTCTAGGCAAGATTCCTCTTTTCACTCTGCGGATACATCTGTGTGGAAGAAAAGATCACAACGTAATGGTTCCGTCTGCTGCTATCTGTCAAGCACCATTCCCCACGCTAACAACAGCAGAAACACCTGCTAGCTAGTGGAAAGTGACAAAAAAAAGAACCCATCACATTTGTTTGTAACCCACCACCCCCAACATTCAGTTATAAAAGACTCTGGTGGCACTTCTGTTGCCTTGACTGAGATCAGGTGACAGCAATAAGCTGCCTGTCCTCTATTTGTGACTAAAAACGAAGTATCTGCCAAGCACTAAGACATGCAGTGGACACGTTCTCATCCACCTGCTTTAGTGGAAGAGCTGGAACACGCAGTCACGTTATCACTAAAATGTTTTGTGGCATCTCCAGTGCCAGACCTAAACCTAAATAAATTCAGGCCTAGAATTCTCTGCATCTCTCCACTTTAAAATTAAATGTTGGGTAAGGAGTTTCAATGATACAATCGATGTTTAAGACCAGGGGAACCACATCGTTAGCACCAGATTCATTTTACTTCTACTGCTTGACAGTACAGTGCCTTGGACATCAGCGCTTTGGACACTGAGCAGCTTTCATGGGGAGAACTGCGCTTCTCAGCTTCCCTTCCCCACCTGTGCGCTTACCTTCGCCCCAGAATCTGCTTCACTTTCACTACGGTGCTGGACACGTTCCTTATCCTGCTCTGCTTCGCCGCCAAGCCGACCACCTGAACAACAAAGAGGCGCTTGGTGAGCCCCACGCGGAGCGGATCCCCCGGGGCACCACGGGGCAGGCCCCCCTCACCTCCTCGCTCTCCGTGAACGCCACCACGGCAGGAGTCACCCGGTCCCCCGCGTCGTTGGCCACCACGTCTGCACGGCCATCCTGCGGGGAGAGATGTCTGTCAGCGCCACCCCAGCACCACCCTCCTCCTCCTCCTTCTACTACCACTACTGACTCCTCCTACCACCTCCTCCTTCTATCACTACTACTACTGCCTCCTCTACTATCATCTCCTCCTTGTATCACTACCTCCCCCTCCTCCATCTCTACTTCCTCCTCCTCCACCACCTCCTCATCCCACCACCTCTACTACTACTACCACCATCTCCTTCTACAGAACTACACCCTCCTCCACCATCCGCTCCACTACTACCATCTCCTCTTTTTATCACTACTACCTCTTTCTCCCACCACCTCCTCCTCCTCTACTACTAGCATCTCCTCCTTCTACTACCACCACCTCCTCCACATGCCACCCCTCTACTACTACCATCTCCTCCTCCTTCTACTACCAGTACTTTCGCCTACCACCTCCTCTACTATTACCACCACTTCCTCCCCACCTCCTCTGCTACTACCACCATCTCCTCCTTTTACTATTCCTACCTCTCCTCCACCCACCTCCTCCATCTCCACTTCCTCCTCCTCCTCCACCTCCTCCCAGCACCTCCTTCTCCTCCCACCTACTACTACCACTTACTGCCTACTCCTCTTCCACCCACCTCCTCATTTACTACCACTACTACTTCCTCCTCCACCTCCTCCCTCCACCTCCACTACTACCTCCTCATTCTATCACTATTACCTCCTCCTCCCACCACCTCCTCCTCCACCACCTCCTCCTCCTCCACTACTACTACTAGTATACTACTAGTACTACTACTACCAGCACTTCCTCTACTACTACTACTACTACTACTACTACTACAACACCCACCACACCTCCTTCCTACTACTCCTTCTACTACTACTACTACTTCTACGTCTACTCCTCCCTCGCCCTCCCCCCCGCACCTTGTACACGGCGGCACAGGCCGAGGACGCCCCCAGGTGCACGCCGATGGCCGCCATCAGCCCCTTCCTGCTCGCCGCCGCCCCACAATGCCCCGCGCGCCCGCCGCCAGCCAATCCCGCCCCGCGTCTCTCCGCGCGCACCAATCAGCTGCCCGCCTCTCATACACGGCTCGCGGCTTCCCCCTCTCCTCTCCCCCTCACCCTCGCGGCGTCGGAGTGACCAATCAGAAAAATCGGGGAAGAGCGCGTCATCGGGCATGGCAACGCGGCAGATTTTGTGCGTGAGGGGCGGGGGGGCGGGGGGGGGGCTGGCTTGAGTTTATTTAACCCCAAAATAAAGATTAATGCAAAGAAAGGCGCAGGAAGCTGTTTCCTGCGTGTACAGGCCGGGGGCGGGCGGTGTGTGTGTGTATTTTATGCCGTTGGCTTCTCTCAGTGTGTAATTGCAGGCAGTGAAGCACACGAGGCAATATAAATATAGACATTTTTTACCCAAATATCGTTAATGAGGCGGCGGGGCTGAAGGGCTGCCTCTGCGTGACCTAACCAGCCGTGACCAACATCTGAGCGTAAATCACACCGCGTGGGGACCTTGCGCTGCCATGGAGAAGCCCATCTGCATTAAAACAGAAGAAATAAAATAAAATAAAACCCAACAAAATGATGTCTAATGAGTGTGCTTTTTAACCCAGCTCGCAGGCTGGGGGACTTGAACATGGGTCAGAGCCCAACTCCTGCCACCATGCCAAAAGCTGCTCAGGCTCTGGACTGGGAGGGGGTGTGCAAGGGAATGGGAGCAGGATGAACGAGGTGGGATAAGGAGAAAAGGGAGAAAAGGGCTGTAAGGGGTTATAGGATCACAGCCCCTGTGCCTGGTGCCGGGTGCTGGGGGCAGATTGAGTGTCTGCATCTTCCCCAACCTGGTGTGTGTGGGCAGTTTGGGTGATTATCCAGTGCTGTATCCAGTTCTGGGCTCCCCGATGCAAAAAAGGACAAGGAGCTCCTGGGAAGAGTCCAGTGGAGGGCCACAAAGATGATACGGGGCCTGGAGCATCTTCCCTATGAGGAAAGGCTGAGAGACCTGGGTCTGTTCAGCCTGGAGAAGAGAAGACTGAGAGGGGATCTCCTCAATGTGTACAAATACCTGAGGGGTGGGAGACAGAGGGATTTGCCCAACCTTGTCTCAGTGCTCTGTGGGGACAGGACAAGGGGCAAGGGCCACAAAATGGAGCCCAGGCAGTTCTGGCACCAACACGCGAAAGAACTTCTGCACGGGGAGGGTGATGGAGCACTGGGACAGGCTGCCCAGGGAGGTTGTGGGGTCTCCTTCTCTGGAGATATTCAAGGCCCGTCTGGACGCCTGCCTGGGCAGCCTGCTGTAGGGAACCTGCTTTGGCAGGGGGGTTGGACCTGATGGTCTCTGGAGGTCCCTTCCAGCCCCTACAGTTCTGTGATTCTGCGATTTGGATTTTATTTCCCTCTAAATGCCATGTGGTACTGCCTCACTGTATCACTGAGAAGTAAACATTGGCCTTATCCTCGGTATATGTATGGTATGCTGACGGGTCAAGAGAATGATCGTGTAGAGGTTAAAGGAGTTATCAAAACTTCCAAAGGGATTTTGTGTCCCCAGACTGACCCTGGATTTCCTAAGTCACAGGACTATCCCCCCTGCAGTAACCAAGCTTGGGGAAGTCTGACCAAGGGCTGCAAGTCCCTGGCTGGAGCTCAGCTTGCAGCAGTCCGTGCTCCTGAGTGATCCCAGTGTTGATAAAGGAAACTGGTATGACTGAAAATAATACCTTTAGAGTGTGTCCAAATTGCAGCTCCTTTCTGTTTCCTCTTGTAAACAGAGGAATGGAAAGAGAAGGGTAGAGGTGAGCAGGAGGGACCTGTGGGAACTTGAGAAAGACATTACAGAAGAAAGCAATGAATGCAAAGGCATCTTTGGCACAGGTAATGGAGGAGGGAGTCGGAGAAGACACACTAAAGATAGGAAGATAATGAAAGACAGAAGCTTCTAGTACAGAAACCTGATTTTTCCTGGCCTTCCCTCAGATCCTAATGCCAGTTGCACCATTTATGCCAACAGATTGGTAATGGGATTAGAACCTGAAATGTATGTATAAGCTGTGTGTCCAAAACTGCTTGTGGCTGCACTACTAACGTCACCTACATGCCTAAGCACATCCAGGGATTGCTTTCCAGACCAGATGTCATGCCGTGGACACAACAGGGCAGATGCACACGAGTTCTGTTTATCTTTACTGAAGCAGTTAATGCTCCTTCCAGCTGTAAGTGAACCTGCGTGGAAACTGGAAATGCCTTGGCAGAGGTTTGTGGCAGCCAGCAGTGGATGTTGAGGAGTGAAAAGAGCTCCTCTGCCTGCTCTTTGTGTGTTTTCTGGTGGCATCCGTAGTTAATGGGGAGCCGTGAGGTTGCTCTGAGCTTGAGTGAGCTGAGAGATGGGGTTAACAACCCGCTCCTAAAGAAAATGAAGGCTGCCCCACTTGTTATGGCGGTTCTGTAAATAAATGAGAGCTTTAACATGCTTGCTGTCTCTTAAAAGTGGGATTGTGGAGGGGAGCACTGACACCAGCACAGCCTGGCCTCAGGGAGCGACTGGAATTTGTCAGCCCTCTGAAAACCAGACCTGCCACAGGGAGAGCAGCTGTCAGAGCGGTGTGATGTGAACTTGCCCAAGTTACTCCTGTGCCGACAGCTCCCAGGCAGGCAGCCTGAGAGGCTGGAGAGCAAAAATAGCTCTGTCCGCAGCGGGCTGACTGCAGGGAAACCACGGAGATTACGGCAAAAAAGCGGCAACATCTGTGAAGTATTTAGAGTGGAACCGAGTGTCTCTATCGAACAACAGGCTGTTTTGTGGCTGGTTAATAGTATATACTCTAAAATGTCCCTGGGGGGGAGGGAAGAAGGATGAGAGAGCTCCTTTTAATTATCTTGTGCGTGTTCTGACTTAATTATCAGGAAGTTAAGCTCCAAGGAGACGGCAGCTGCGGGACCTGTGATCTTCTCCAGCCTGAGGATGCGGATGGGGTCAGAGGATGCCCAGGAAAGCTCTGGGGAGAGCCTGGCTGTGGAGAGACGTGGACAGCAGTCCACCAGGTGGCACTTCCCTCCTGATTTTCAAAAACTTACTTTTCCCTAAGAAAACGTGAAATTTTGCAGTCCCGCTGGAGGTGTTGACGTCCTGCTGATGGCAAACTTCTGCCCCCTTCACTTGCCTTCATGAAAGCATCTAGGTTTTATATATATATATGCATAAAAATGGGCTCCTCAAACTCCTTGCCTAAATCCCCAGAAGTGATTACACCATCGTTATTCCTTGCATTGCTGACCACCCCCAAACTGCTGGGTTTTGGGCTGGAGGATGCAGATGACTTCTGGGTTTGCTTTAACTCTTGCACCCACTAAAAAGGGCAGGCGAAAAAGTTGATTCCGGTGTCCTCATTGCTTCGTAATCACAGTAGCCAAGTGACAAAGCAAGTTTGGTTAGTGGATCAGATGAATTAAACACTTGTCTTAATATTTAACAAGCTGAACAAAATGTTTTTATGGGACGAGGGTCTGACTGCTCTCGAGTCTTTCACTGCAGTCCAAAAAAAAAAAAAAAAGAAAAGAAAAAAAGAAAAAAAGAACATATTTGGCAGAAAAAGTACACTGAAAGCTTGGCAGGCCGATCTGTTGAAAGGCTGGTATTAATGCCTGTAGGTGGCATCAACGCAGCATGTAATTGCAATGCTACAACTCATCTGCAACGCTGAGCCAGCTTGGCAGCTCGGCAGTTTGGGAGTAAAGTTGAAGCCAGATCTTTTTTTTTTCTTTTTACTTACAGCAGAGTGCTTGTTAGAGAGTATCCTGAGAAAATTTTTATATTGTAGGTGACATAAAGCATCTTACACAATTATTTGTTTTTGCTTGTAAGTCAAGAAGGTCAGTTTTCTTCCTCTTCTTGAAAAAGCTTTGGGTTCCTGCAAAATAACCCATCCCTTATTGCACTCCACGTCACAAGCTCGATCGTAAAGTGGGCGAAATTTGGTTGCCTTCCGACCTGAACCACCCAAACCCTGGGCCGTTGAGCGGTGTTCAAGCGATGAGTGGTCAAAACACGCTGCAGTTCCTGAGGGATTTGGTGAGTGACTCCAGCAGGCTTGTCTGAAAGCAACCTTGTCCTCTACAAACCTCTTCCAAGTTACCCTGGCACACGTAGAGTGTCTTCTCATGGAAGAGATGCTCTTCCAAGTTCTCTGCCAGCATTCATCCAGTTGCAGATTATCCTTGCGAGGAACAAGAAGGCACCGATGGCTAATTAAACACGGCAAATATACGTCCTAGCTAGAACTGAGAACTCCCACAAGTCGCCTTTGCAAAGGCTTTGTTGGTGATTATGAAAGTCAAACACGTATGATTTTCTTCAGAGCAAGAATAAGCCCAAGCTACAGATAACTGCATGTAGTCTATGCTAATAAAACCAGAAATGGGCAATATGCTCATTGCTGTTTGGGGAATTGCTGTAGATTGTGTTAGGCACTGTCATCTTTAGGCACATTGATGATGGTCATGGTTGCCCAAAAGATTTCATCACTTATGTTGAGTCTGAGAACTTTAAACATACATTCAATTTTTTTTTGTTTGTTTATTCCCCAAGGAAAAATAATAGAAAATCTCCAGATTTTTTAACATTTAACAATTTTAACATCTTCCTTTTAACATTTTGGCCTTCTTCCTCTCCATGTCCCAGTTTTTCCATCTCCTAAACGATGCCAAAATCACTTTACAGGAACGTTGGAAGGCTTTAATGACAGATCAGAAGTGTGCTGAGCTCCTTGCTGGAGGGTGCCATGTGTTATGGTTAATAATGCAGACCCAAGTGACAACAGGAATTACAAAGGGTGCTGTGATGCCATCCCAGAACTCTGCAGGCACGTTCCGAGGTATGACATTCACATTTGTGCTCTGGTGGAAAACCTGGTGTTCCCTGAGCTCTGGGGTGAGTTTTGTGCTCCGTAGCACCACTTCCCTACAAAACCGAACAGGGTCTAATCCTTAAGATTGGGCAGTTTAAGAACTGACCACCAAAAAGGATCATGCTCAGCGTCAGGTCGGTATCAGGACAGATACCTCAAT